GTGAGGGGAAGAGCCAGGCGGGGGTCTGGCCGGAGCCTGGGCTTCAGCCTCTTCACCTGCAGCTGGACGAGCTCTCCCCGGCCTCCACGCCGCCTGCTGCGTTCACGACCTCCGAGGCGGTGTCTCTGAGCCCGGCCCCCAGCGATTTACAAGCAGGAAACGGGGCTGGAGAAGCCCTGGTCTGCTGGGTCCTCGGCTTCGGTGCCCACTCCTCCTGCTCCGGAGGCGGAAACCCGTCCGGGAGGCCCGGGGCGGTGCCGTGACCGGAAAAGGAGCCTCGGGGCACTGGGGTCCTGGGTGTTGCATTCTTTTTGTATAGATGATGATGTTTTGTTTATTTAGTTCATCCTCATCCGAGGATATTTTCCCCATTGATTTCTAGAGAGAGCGGAAGGGAGGGAGGGGGTGAGGAAAGAAACATTGATGAGAGAGACACATCAATTGGTTGCCTCCTGCATGCGCCCAACTGGTGACCAAACCTGCAACCTGAAACCCAGGTAGTGCCCTTGACGGGGAATCAAACCGCCAACCCTGAGGTACACAGGCCGGCGCTCTAACCATTGGGAACACTGGCCAGGGTGAAACCCTGTCCCTTTTTATTTTGTCATTAAAAAATATTTTTATTGATTTCTGAAAGAAAGGGAGAGGGAGAGAGAGAGAGATGGAAACATCAATGATGACAGAGAATCATTGATTGCCTCCTGCACGTCTCCCACTGGGGATTGAGCCCACAACTGGGGCATGTGCCCTTGACCAGAATTGAAACTTGGACCCTTCAGTCCACAGGCCAACGCTCTATCCACTGAGCCAAACTGGCTAGGGCCAACCCCCAGCCTTCATGGACTGGAAAGACCCCTGGTGCATTGACGCTGGGATCCACTGTGAGCCTGACTCACACAGGCCTGGATGACCCATGTGGACACGATGCAAACCCACCATGCTGAGACCCATTCATTACTGTTGGTGACACTGTCCCTCCATATGCCACAGACCCACCTGCTCTCCAAGCTGCCCATTCCCGACAGTCAGGTGATCACCATTGACCCCCAGCTGCCTGTGGAGGAGGCAGCAGAGGACTACGCCAAGAAGCTGCGACAGGTGAGTCCCTCGAGTCGCCACAGGGAGACCTTGTCCACTCGACGGCTAATCCCAGGCAACAGACGTTCTGCAGGTAGCACTCTGTGATTGTCATCGGCAGACACTCCCCTGGGCTCAGTCAGCCGACCCAGCCCCGCCCTGGGTAGACACATTAATAGGCCACACCCCTGCCTTGGGGTCCCCAGGGGTGCCCTCACCTCTGACACCTAGGAGCTGGCCTGGGTCCTCACATCTTGGAAACAGTTGTGTCCCCAGATGCTTAGCCAGTTGGGCAGGTGAACGTAGAACCTCGTAGATTAGAGTCCCTTTTATGCAGGTGAGGCTGAGTGACATCACTCCCTGTGCTATAGCTACTTGTAATTATTTTTTAAATTCTTTAAAAATATGGTGTTATTGATTTTTAGAGAGAGAGGAAGGGAGAGGGGTAGAGAGATAGAAACATTGATGAGAAGAGCATCATTGATAAGCTGCCTCCTGCACGACCTCTACTGAGGGTAGAGCCTGCAGCCCGGGCATGTGCTCTGACGAGGAATCCAACCGGCGACCTCCTGGGTGATGCCCAGCTGCTGAGCCACACGGCCAGGCACCACGTGTGATTCTTTCTGACAATTGTCTCTGTATTCTCCCCCTTTCTCAACCTCCGTGGACTGTCTTCTCCCCCTGGCAGGCCTTTCAAGGGGACTCCATCCCAGTTTTTGACCTGCTGATCCTGGGGGTGGGCCCCGATGGCCACACCTGCTCACTCTTCCCAGACCACCCCCTGCTGCAGGTGAGTGCACCACACAGGCCCCACGCACACCTGCCTCCGGCCTCTGCTGTCTGGGCTTCCACAGGGAGGCCAGGCGTTGCCCACAGCAGGGTGTGAATCAGTTCTGCCAATAGGCATGCCCGCTGGCTTTATCCTCCCGAGCCTCGGTTTACCCATCTTATAATGGGGGCCTTAAATCAAGCACCACAGGACTGGGAGGGTGGGCTGGAGTGATGGATGGATTATGCTTGATGTGGGTGAGTGCCTGAGAAGTTGAAGTGACATTGTCCTCTTCAACTCCCCCCCAGGAACGGGAGAAGATTGTGGCTCCCATCAGTGACTCCCCAAAGCCGCCTCCACAGCGCGTAACCCTCACACTCCCTGTCTTGAATGCGGCCCGAACTGTCATCTTTGTGGCGACTGGAGAAGGCAAGGCAGCTGTCCTGAAGGTAAAGCCGGGCCCATTCCCGGGAAGGTGGGGGCATGTGAGCCTGGGGACAGAATAGGACCCGGGGTGCTATTGTGCCGGAAGCAGCGGATCCCAAGATCCTTCAGTAATTCTCGGGTCGAAGGGGAGATGGAAACTGCCATTGCAGGCTGGTTAGGAAGGACTAAGTACAAAATGAGATCGATGAGATGAGACAACAGCTACACTGAGAGGTAAATTCATAATATTAAAATACATTTTTAAAATAACTATAATAATAAAAGGGTATATGCTAATTAGACCAGGATGTCATTCCGGACGTCCTTCCTGATGAAGGCGAGGCCAGATGGAAGCAGCCTGGGTCCAGGTGCCTGCAGGCGGCCAGAGGAGGGAAGCAGCCCAGGTCCTGGGTGCCTGCGGGCGGCCGGAGGAGGGAAGCCCGGGTCCTGGGTGCCAGAGGGAAGCCGGTGCCGGCAGCCGGGGGAAGGAAGGCCTACTCTTGCATGAATTTTCGTGCTTCGGGCCTCTAGTTAAATAGAAAACTACTGAATAAACAAATCAAGCACTTACTCTTGAATTAGAAAAATGAACAATAATGTCAATCTAAGTAAAGTCAGCAAAAGGGATATATGAAATCAAAATCAGAAATTAATGAATTGGTTAATTTTTAAAAAATATATTTTTGTTGATTGCAGAGAGGATGGGAAAAGAGAAAAATCAGTGATGAGGTAGAATCATTGATCAGCTACCTCTTGAACACCCCCCCACTGGGGATCGAGCTTGCAACCCGGGCATGTGCCCAGACCAGGAATAGAACCGTGACTTCCTGGTTCATAGGTTGATGCTCAACCATTAAGCCACACTGGCCGGGCATTATTTTTGAAAATTTAACGATATAGACGTCCGAAAGATAGACAAACCACTGGCAAAGCTAACCAAGAAGGAAAAAAATCATATATAGGAATAAGTAAAAAAAGTAGGAGTAAGAAAGAAGGTATAGTTATATATAATATTCTAGGAAACTATAAACTAAGATACTAAAAACAAACTAAGCTGGTTTGGTGTGGCTCAGTGGTGGAGTGTCAACCTATGAATCAGGAGGTCACGGTTTGATTTCTGGTCAGAGCACATGCCCAGGTTGCTTGATCCCCGGTGGGGGGCGTGCAGGAGGCAGCCCATCAGTGATTCTTTCTTATCATTGATATTTTTCTCTCTCCCTCTCCTTTCTTCTCTGAAATCAATAAAAATATATTTAAAAAAATATAAAAATGAAAATTATGTGGAGAAAATGAATTAGG